CGGGCCTCATCCGCCTCCCCCGGGGCGCGCGCCTCGGCCTCGGCGCGGCCGCCCCGAAGCTTCCGGAAGATGCACGAGTCCGCCGCCTCCCCGCCCGGGCCCCGCGTGGGCTTCTTGCGGGCCTTCTCCTTCCCGGGCTGCAGCGGCAGCAGGCTGTCCTTTCCGGGCTGCCCGTGGCGGGGGTCCCCCTTGGCGCCGCCGCCGCCCCGCAGGAGGTGTGCGCCCCGATCGAGCTCGGGGCGGCGTGGCGCGCCCCGGGGCGCGGGCTGCTCACTGCGGAACTCGTTGAGGATGTCGAAGAAGCTCTGCTCGGGCACGCCCTGCACGTCGATGGAGGACGTGCTCCCGTACTCGCGGAAGAGGGGCAGCGCCCCCGCGTGCCGCGCCGCCCGCGGCTCCCCCGCGTCCTCCACATCGCACTCACTCAGCGTGATCTCGCTACTGCTGCGGTGCCGCAGCGGGAGGAAGGCCCTGCCCGGGGACCGGGGCCACACGTCCTGGAATTCCACATCTTTGGACCTCCTTCTGGAGAGCCGGTGGAAGGCCTTGGACCCCGAAGAAGCCGGAGTGCTGGCGGGGGGCTGTCCGTTCTGTATGCTCCTCATGGAATGGGCCACCTTTGTGGCCTTCGTGCCATCTGCGTCCTGCGAGGGGCTTGGGTTGTTCTGCTCTCTCAGGGCCTCCCGCTTGGGCGGCCAGTCAGCCACTCTGGCGCGCACGCCCATCTTGGGCATGGCAGGTGTGGTGGGGCTGGGGCGGGTGGTGGCGCTGGCTGGGCTCTCAACAGGCTGGGGCATGCTGCCATTCTGGACCCAGAATCCCAAGGGAGTGTAGTCCCCGGTGTGCGGCCCCGGGAGGACATCGGCCCCTCTGGCCCCACAGCTGGCTGCCAGGTCCACGCCATCATTGGGAATGGGCCGATAGGTGGTCATAGTCCACAGGCAGTGGAGTGCTACTGGCCCCCAGAAGCTGTAGAGAAACTTTATGGGGTCCCCTGGCCCTCAGCCATTGTTCAGGGCCACCAGTCCCAGGAGGAAGGATGCTGGCCCCTGAAGCCTGACGGGAAGGTCGTGAGCCTGTGGAGTCCAGTTCTCCACCATCGCTGTGGACAACTGCGCCAGGACAACCTCGGGAGGCAGGCGCTGTCCTGGGGGCTCCAGACTGGGCGGCTCAGCAGGGCACAGCAGGCAGCAGATGTGGGCGAGGGCCGGCAGGCTGCAGGGATGTCCTCCCCATCATGCTGAAAGGGAGACAGGCAAAGGTGAGTGAGACTCAGTGCCATTCCTGTTTCAGCTCTCCACCCACTCCTACATTTTTTGTTTTTGACAAAATATTTTAGAGTAAATCCCAGACATCAGGACATTTCACCCATAAATACTTTAGCTTGTATCTCTAGCAGATAAGGCCTTTAAAAAAATAACCATGATCCCTTTATCATCCCCACCCAGATGAATAAGAATTCTTCAGTACCACATAATACCCCACCTGCATTACATTTCCCCCATTGTCTTTGCTGGTTTGTTCAAATCAGGATCCAAACAAGATCCATACTCCGCTTTGGCAGATAGATTTCTTAAGTCTCGTCTACTCTAGAATGCCCCCCGCTCCTGATTTGGATGTTATTTACTTGTGGAAGGAGTGGGGTCACTTGTCCCATGGAGTTCCCTCTTTCAGGATCTGGCTGACTTTTCCCTGTGGTGTCACTGAACACGTTCCTCTGTCCCCTGTGAGTCCTGTCTACTGGTAGCTGCACGTACAGGCCAGACTGTGGTCTGTCTGTTCCGTAGTCCACCCGACCAGCCACCCCGCTGGAAAGGAAGTGAAAACAGCCGCTGAGTCACCATGGGCATTGATGGATTTGGGGAGGCAATGTCTCTAGAAATCTATGTGATTCATAGATACTATGAGCCGCCAGATCAGCTCCCGTCCTTTCTTTGCCGAGATTTCCCCAGTGGCTCCTTACTATGTTAGAGTAAAACCCACATTCCTTCTGCTGGCCCACAAGCCTCTGCTGGTCCCCGTGGTGCCTCTCCCCATCACGGACTAAGATCCCATCACACTGGCCTTCTTTCCTGTTCCTCTGACATACCAAACCCCATCCAGGGCATCTGCGTATCCTTCCTGGTTTTTCACCAGGCTGGTTCCCGCCCATGGTGTCGACTCTTGACTGAAGCTTTCCCAAACCACCCCATCGAGACAGAGACGCTCCTGTCTGCTCAAAGCCTTTCTCTGTCACCCACTCTGCTCTTTTTTTCCTTCGTGGTTATCACCAATTGATGTTATTTTGTTCATTATCTATTTACTGACTATCTCCACCTCTAAATCATCAGTTCCAGAATGGCAGGGGTGTCTGCTGTTCACTGATGTATCCCCAGCTCCTAGAATAGGACACTCACTCACTATTTATTGTGTGAATGAGCGAACCGACAGCATCTCCCTAACCTGACGTGTGAGTACATCCTGATGCTCAGACCTCTGGGGAAGGGAGTTTGTGCTTCTGCCCAGCCACCTACAGTACTCAGCAGGATCATGTCCCTTTGTCTCCACGTTAATGTCTGGAAGATGGACCCCTCTGCTGGGGATGAAGGGGAGGGCAGGTCACGGTCTGTGCAGGACCTGTTGGTCGTCCCAGCAGCTGGGCCCCTTCCTCTGCCAGCAGGAGTGGGCATCTCACTCAAGGTGACCAATACCTTTTCTTTCCCTTGGAATGTGGAGCCAGACAGGGCCATTCTGGCCAACGACAGTTGTTGCTCTCCGAGTGAGGACATGGAAGGCCTCCTGTGTGAGTGAGGGGCGTATGAGTGTGGGGGAGGGGGGGAGAG